AGCCTCTAAATGGATGCTAATGGATGGGGTTGTGTTCCTGTCTTGCTAGTTGTTTGGCATAGGGTGTCTAGCACTGTAGCTTGCTGGTCGTTTAGTGGAGCTGGGTCTTGGAGTTGAGATGGAGATCTCTGGGAGATTTTCGCCGTTTGATATTATGTGGAACTGGAAGGTCTCTTGTGGACCAGTGTCCTGAACTTGGTTCTCCCACCTCAGTGGCACAGCCCTGATGCCTGGCTGGAGCACCAGGAGCCTGTCCTCCACACGGCTCAGAATAAAAGGGAGGAAAAAAAGAAAGAAAGAAAGAAAAAGATAAAATAAAGTTATTAAAATAAAAAATAATTATTAAGAAAAAAGAATTTTTATGTGAAAAAAAATAAAACGGACAGGCAGAACCCTAGGACAAATGGTAAAAGCAAAGCTATACGGGCAAAATCACACACAGAAGCATACACATACACAGTCACAAAAAGAGAAAAAGGTAAAAAATATACATATATCGTTGCTCCCAAAGTCCACCTCCTCCATTTGGGATGATTCGTTGTCTATTCAGGTATTCCACAGATGCAGGGCACATCAAGTTGATCGTGGAGCTTTAATCCGCTGCTTCTGAGGCTGCTGGGAGAGATTTCCCTTTCTCTTCTTTGTTCGCACAGCTCCAGGGGTTCAGCTTTGGATTTGGACCCGTCTCTGCATGTAGGTCTCCTGAGGGCATCTGTTCTTCGCTCAGACAGGACGGGGTTAAAGGAGCAGCTGATTCGGGGGCTCTGGCTCACTCAGGCCGGGGGGAGGGAGCGGAACGGATGTGGGGCGGGCCTGCGGCGGCAGAAGCCAGCATGACGTTGCACCAGTCTGAGGCGCACCGTGCGTTCTTCCGGGGAAGTTGTCCCTGGATCCCAGGAACTTGGCAGTGGCGGGCTGCACAGGCTCCCGGAAGGGAGGTGTGGACAGTGACCTGTGCTTGCTCACAGGCTTCTTGGTGGCGGCAGCAGCAGCCTTAGCGTCTCATGCCCGTCTCTGGGGTCCGCGCTGATAGCCGCGGCTCGCACCCGTCTCTGGAGCTCCTTTAAGCAGCGCTCTTAATCCCATCTCCTCGCGCACCAGGAAACAAAGAGGCCAGAAAAAGTCTCTTCCCTCTTCGGCAGCTCCAGACTCTCTCCCGGACTCCATCCCGGCGAGCCGAGGTGCACTAGCCCCCTTCAGGCTGTGTTCACGCCGCCAACCCCAGTCCTCTCTCCCTGCGCTCCGACCGAAGCCCGAGCCTCAGCTCCCAGCCCAGCCTGCCCCGGCGGGTGAGCACACAAGCCTCTCGGGCTGGTGAGTGCCGGTCGGCCCCGATCCTCTGTGCGGGAATCTCTCCGCTTCACCCTCCGCACCCCTGTGGCTGCGCTCTCCTCCGCGGCGCCGAAGCTCCCAACCCCGCTCCGCCTCCCGCAGTCTCCGCCCGCGAAGGGGCTTCCTAGTGTGTGGAGACCTTTCCTCCTTCACAGCTCCCTCCCACTGGTGCAGGTGCCGTCCTTATCCTTTTGTCTCTGTTTTTTCTTTTTTCTTTTGCCCTACCCAGGTACATGGGGAGTTTCTTGCCTTTTGGGAGGTCTGAGGTCTTCTGCCAGCGTCCAGTAGGTGTTCTGTTGGAGTTGTTCCACGTGTAGATGTATTTCTGATGTATCTGTGGGGAGGAAGGTGATCTCCGCGACTTACTCTTCCGCCATCTTGAAGCTCCTCCGACCCTAGGTTCTTCATGACCTTTTTTTTTTTTTTTAGATTCCATATATATGTGTTAGCATACTGTATTTGTTTTTCTCTTTCTGCCTTACTTCACTCTGTATGACAGACTCTAGGTCCATCCACCTCACTACAAATAACTCAATTTCATTTCTTTTTATGGCTGAGTAATATTCCATTGTATATATGTGCCACATCTTCTTTATCCATTCATGTTGATGGACACATAGGTTGCTTCCATGTCCTGGCTATTGTAAATAGAGCTGCAATGAACATTTTGGTACATGACTCTTTTTGAATTATGGTTTTCTCAGGGTATATGCTCAGTAGTGGGATTGCTGGGTCGTATGGTAGTTCTATTTTTAGTTTCTTAAGGAACCTCCATACTGTTCTCCATAGTGGCTGTATCAATTTCCATTCCCACCAACACTGTAAGAGGGTTCCCTTTCTCCACACCCTCTCTAGCATTTAGTGTTTGTAGATTTTTTGATGATGGCCATTCTGACCGGTGTGAGATGATATCTCATGGTAGTTTTGACTTGCATTTCTCTAATGATTAATGATGTTGAGCATTCTTTCATGTGTTTGTTGGCAATCTGTATATCTTCTTTGGAGAAATGTCTGTTTAGGTCTTCTGCCCATTTTTGGATTGGGTTGTTTGTTTTTTTGATATTGAGCTGCATGAGCTGCTTGTAAATTTTGGAGATTAATCCTTTGTCAGTTGCTTCATTTGCAAATATTCTCTCTCATTCTGAGGGTTGTCTTTTCGTATTGTTTATGATTTAAGGATTAAATTTTTTAAATCATTTCAGTATTCAAACACTGAAATCAAGTTTTCAGTGTTACCTATAGATAGTAGCTAATTCAGACTAGCATCCTGATGTGTTTTGTGTTTGTACAAAGAACCCAGGTTCTATATTTTTTATAAGCTTAAGTTGTGGGCTGGTAATTTAGCCAGCGGAAAACCAGATAATGATCTAATACATAGGTGGCCAAAGTTTTTTTTTGTTTTGTTTTTGTTTTTGTTTTTTAAGGGCCTTTTAACTACTTTGGAAAACCCCTTAAAGAGTGAAAGTCAAACACAGAACGGTATCATATATCACACTCATGACACACTAGTCCATTTCTGAAAATAATAAAGCTTTCTCAAAATGAAGTCATTTATATCCTTAGCCATGCCCTATTGTGTGCACTGAGTACTTTCTGAGAGCAGTGTTTCCTGTAGCGTACTCCCAAGACTGGCTTATTTGTTTGCATTAGGCTTTTATTATCATGCTGCTCCACCTGCGTAGTTCTGCCTTCTCCAAGGTGGCCAGAGTAGCTTAAGCACAGGAATGTTACTATGAGTAGGTGGAATGTTTTTGTCCGGTGAGCGCCCATTGTAAATCCCTAGCTATGATGCCATTCTAATGACTTTAATCTTTCTAAGAACAGCCAATTACATCCATTTGTAACATAGTCCGATATTAAATTGTTTACATTCATCTGCTCTGTGCCAGTTCAGGGACAGAGATTAGTCTTCGCACCATAGTAAACTGGCCCCTCCTCCTTTACTTTCTCAGGAAAAGGCATCATGATCCACCCCTACTGCTGAAGCCTGGAACTGATGTGTATTCTGAATTTCTCCATCATTCTGTGCATTCAGTCACCAAGTCAAACTTCTTGATAGTTTTCAGATCCACTCACTTCTTTCAGTCTCCTGTGACCACTACCTTAGTCTAAGCCCACATCATCTGTAGAACAACTACTGTGGTCTTCTAACTGTCTCCATGCTCCCATGATTGCCCTTTCCAGTTCATTCTCTTTTGCTTTAAATATTCATCAGTACCCATTGCTCTCCATAAATAGGTATTCTGTAATTTCTATTCATAAGTGTTTTTATTTTACACATTAGTAGGACAGAGTTTGACTTGTCCATAGAAAGCAGTGATCTGAATTCTTGAACTTCTCTATAGACTTATTTAAAGGGAAACTCTAGCTTGCAAGCTCCAAGAGACTAAAATTTAGGGACAAAATAAGCCATTTATAGATTTCTGTGTTACAGGGAGTTCCCTGGCAGCTCAGTGGTTAGGACTCCGCCCTCTTATTGCTGAGGGCCCGGGTTTGATCCCTGGTCAGGGAACTAAAATCCCACAAGCCGCATGGCACAGCCAAAATAAATAAATAAATAAATTTCTGTGTTGGAATATTAATCAGAGGTCAAAAAATCATTGAAATCAGAGAATATCAGGACTAGACTGATCCTTGGAGATTATGTGGCTCAACCTCATCATTTTATAGGTAAGGAAACTGTGGCCCAGCCACAGAAAACAAATTGATCCTTCTAAATATGGAATCTCATCATGTAACTCCTTTTCTTAAAATCTGTCCAGGCTTCCCATTATGGTCAAGATGAAGTCTAAATTCCTCAGCGTGGCATACAACGTCTGTATAGTCTGGCCTTTCCTTATCTTTCCAGACTTACCTTTCGTTCCTCTCTCCAACTTATCCTAGAATTTGATGTTTCCAAGTAAACTGTGTTCTTTCTTACCCACACGACATTGCACATAATTTCTCCTAGTCCTCCCCATTTTGAATGCTAAATCCAAACCATCCTTCAGACATCTGATTAGACATCATCTCCCCTGCAAACGTATCCCAGATTCCCTCTACACTACCAAGCATGTGTCACCATCATAGCATATTCACAGCGTCCTAACTGCCTTTGAACAATCTGTTTCCATCACTGGACTGGAAGGAATAGACAGTTGAGGGCAGGGACCTGCATCTTACTCATTGTTCTGTCCTCACATCTTGATCAGGTATCTGATATCCAATATTTAAGATTAATTATTAATTCTCTTTTAACTTGCCTAGTATACTTCAATTATTCCATCAGCTCTTCTTACAAAATCTATTTTCAGAGGGAAAAAAAACTTGTTCATTCACCTCAATGCATAGGTCACTGATAGTTTTAAATGACAACTCTTCCTAAAAGCATATACATTTTTAGGGGAACAAGGTTTTGAGTCACAGGAATGAATTCCCAATGCAGATAATCCAACCATAAATAGTAAGCCATGAGAGTATTTGTGAGGGAAAGAAAACTTTCCCAGAACCTTCAACACAGTCATATAGGTGATCTACTCTCACCTCACCCTCACAGAAGAATGACTCTATGTTTTTGTCTATAAAAATCAGATCACTTGTTGGTTATTTTTCTCTGTATTAAGAAAATCATTATTTACCCACAGTAAAAATGCCTGATTTAATTTATAACATTTCTGGTTTTGTTTCAGGGAAGCAATGTTATGGAAGATCAAGATCTGTTGGAAATTGGAATCCTTAATTCTGGGCACAGACAAAGAATTCTACAGGCAATCCAGCTCCTTCCAAAGGTAAGCCATGCTTTATTACCTTAACCCTGAGTATAGTCCCAGTGGTTTTAAGTCCAGGTGTGCAAGGGGTATTAGTATTTAGGACAATATGTCTGCATATTGATGCAACTCCTCAAAGCAGGTCTTCTTAGTCCAACTAAACATTCAGACTCATAAGACTACTATGAGCCACAGTAGATCTATCAAGAAAGATATAATACAGGAAATGCCACTGGCTAGCAGGGCAGCTTCAGAGTTTTTCTTCAGTGCGATTCTTTATGTCAGTACAAACATCAGTCCATGCTCCCCAGGTGACAGATCAGGTGCAAGAAGACAAGATGAATATAGGGTGGGTACAAGAATGTTCCTGGATCAGAAGCCTCATGCCCTTAAAGGCAGTATCTCTTGTAACAACTCCATAGCCCTAGCCTCCAGGGACAAGGAACCTGCCTAATCACACGTCATCACTCAGGGAAGTCCAAAATATCACATCCCCATCAGGTATTTGTAGTTCATGTATAAATCTTCCCAGTCCAGATGCAATTTACCAACCAGGCATCATTTTAACTTTAAGTAGTATGTTACCTAGCAACAGAGTTGACCTTCTGTTTCCAGATAAGGTTTCATAAGAGCCTAAAACAACTGGTCTTCAGGATATGTAGGATTTTAATTGGTAAGGAAAGGGAAGGCATTTC